AAAAATTTAATATATAATAAATGTGATATTAGTTTATTTAGATTTTAAGTTTCGAACGATTTTAATAAATATTAATCGAGTAAATAAATTTTTATTTACTGCCAGTTTTTTCCGCCACTACTGTATCAATTAGAACATTAATATTATCCCATTTCATTTATGTTTGATATGTTAATAAAAGAATCAACTATATGTGTTTGTAACTATGTTAAGAGAACTAATATGAAAATTTAAAGAATTTTATGTAAATTTTGAAGAATTTAGAGCTATGTTAACGAAAGACGGCTTTTTTAAGTTCAAAAAGTTATTTGTTATTTGAATATTCCCAAAAGGCATAGTCTATGTAGAATATGTCAAGTGCATGATACTATCGGAATGTTCCGAAATTCCTACGACAGATTTTTTTTTATAACAAAGTAATAAAATAAGTTTTGACGAGGCGCAGTCAGATTTTCATATTCGCATTAATGCGGAACGTGAAATTTATTTATTCTTATTTAAGGATTAAATAACAATATGTATTTTGAAGGAGACTGTATTTTATAAACTTCACGATTATTTGATAGAAACTATGTAATGTGATGTGAAATTAAAGAAATTATTATTAAAGCCATAAATTTTGAAGAACTAGGTAACTTAATATACAGAGTAAGTCGGCTCTTTTGAGTTTAAAATAATAGTATTTTAATTTATATTATTTGAAATATTCCAAAAAAAAGTTTCTTGGTACATAAATGCGCAGTATTAGAATATGTCAGATTTGCAAATTGCATTGTATGATATCATGTTCATGCAGAGAATAGTCAAAATTCTGCGTTATGGTATCTTATAATAACAAAGTTAAAAAGTGATTAGAACGATACAAACACTCTAAAAGACAACATTAAGAAAAGATCACGAATTTGTAGCGGAAATTTCCGAGGCGCAGTCGAATTTTCATATTTATTGTAATGCGTAGTTTAAAATAATTTCTAAAAAAAAAAATAAAATAAAAAATAGGTGTATCGAAATATTTTCATTAGAAAAAAAAAAATAAAAAAAAAAATATTATATTACAGTACTCAATATAGCGTTATAACGAAATTATTTTTAAATTTTTTCAACCAAAAATAAAGGTATCAATTCTGTAAAAAAAAAATATTTTACACAAAAAATGTGCCACAAATAGGAAGGAATTAAACTCACATACAGTATATTAATATTTTTTTATCAAGATATGCACATAACTGCATGATATGTATGATTTCATTATTTAAGATTCTCTTTATATTTACATTTTTGGCAATTAAAATACCTAAATTATCCTTTTACTTATTTTTTTATTTTTTTTTTGATGACAAAATATCTAAATGAGTATGTAGGGGGTTTTGTTTTTATGCCGAATTATAAAATTTTCAATGTTTTGTTGACAAAATAATATCTTTACAGCATAGCCACATAATCGTTGCTAATTTTTTTATAAAAAAATTATTATTATATTTTACAAATTACCGGTAAAATTTTCTAATAAGAAAAAAAATTAATTCTAGGTTCATAAACGAATTTAATCTTAGACAAATGGTAATTATTTAATTATTTGAAAATAAAGTTTAAAGTTCTTAATTTGATGTGAAATGTTAATTAAGCAAAAGTTCTATGGCATAATCAGCAGGAATGTCATTATCAAGAATGTAGATGTAACTTGGACCTGGAGGAAATATGGTCGGATTTGGTGGCATTTCAACAGTTAATATTGTTGAGGAATCCCGTTTCCTTGCTGAATATTTAGCAGACACAATATTACACGAAACAAATCTTTGTGAGAAATGATTTGAATGTGTGATAAATCCAGGATTAATTAAGACTGCTTTGAAATTTGGAACATCTTGCCCTGATGTAACTGTGACCTCAACATTTTGTCCATATGATACTGGAATTCTTATAGTGTTTAGTTCTGTATATTCTCCTACGCTGATGATCTTTGGACGTGCTAATCCGGTCAACAAGTATGGTGGTGTGAACATTTCAACACGATATCTATCGTAAAAGAAAAAGTACAAGGAAGAGATTAGCTAACGCGAAATTATAATGTAAGAAAGAATAAAATGTCAAAATTACTTACTCGGTGGGGAATTCAGATTTAGTATAAACATCACCCTGTGGATTGCTACCGGCTACAAAGATTCTTCCATCGGATACCAAAGTGGCAACAGAGTGATATAATCTTGGAATGATTGATGGGGCAAGTCGAGACCATTGTTTCGTTTCAGGATCATAAACTGAGGGAGCCAATACTGGTTTAATGGCAACATATAGAGGATTTGTATTTGGACCACGATGATACCCAGCGAAACCAGCTCCGGCTCCATTTAAATATAAGACTTTTCCGGTTGGCAAAATAACAGAATCCGGCATCACACGTCCAACACCACCGAAATCATCCATTTCCCATTTAGGATCATCTTCGGTTGGATCTATTCTACCACATGATGCTTCGGCCAGTGTTTCAATTTCCATTTCAGTATTACCTCCGCAAATCATAACGACAGGTTTATAATATGGTGGGTGAAGTGGTAATAAAACCGAATTACCGGTTAATGGGTAAGATCTAATTGAACCTGGCATTTCTGGTAATCTTTTCACGATGGTAGCCGTATCAAAATCAAAAAGAATTCCCTGCTTATTCGCGAATACGAATACAATTTGTTTTCCCTCATCATTTGGTATAACATGTAAAAATACGTAAAGATTAAATGGTAATGTTTCTATTAAAAAGGGCATATCAAAAGCCTTTTCAGGAATTCCTCCAGCTAAGGGCCAAATTTCATATGTTGGATTATTAATTCCGGCATTATTTTTTCCTGTTCCCTTGTATGCACCTCCAAAAACTAGCACGTCACCACTTGGGAGTGTGGCCATGGCCGGGTACCATCTGCGTGACGTCATTCCTTCTGGTATTTCGGACCAATCCGCACCATCACCTGGAGTGAAAAATCTTATGCTCTGATAACCCTCATTATATCCGAATTGATTCTCTGCACCACCAGCATGTAGGAGCGTTCCGTTACCAAACCATGAACCCGCCGTGCAAAATGTATCTGAATCCAAGTTAAGAATCCGATATTCATTAGTTTCAACATTATATAAAGTCGAAATGGCCGGATTTCCATTCGCTTGCTTTATTGGATTAGCCTCGACTTTATCAATAATGATTATTTCATTATAGGAAACAACAGCGATGTGCATTGCTGCTACTCCCGAGTTTCCAACTATGTCCCATTGACCGACATTAGCATCTGCTTCATTTGCTCGAGCGAATAGATATACTGGAGAAGCTGAAGAAGCTGGGGAGGTGGGATGGGGTAAAGCCGTAACAAGGCCAGAATGTGATATATATTTGGCCAAAAACGTACATAAAAGCCAAATAAAACTTATTGCTTTCATATTTAAAAATTAATTTAATATGAAAATCTGGAAAATAATTTGTATGGTCTTATATTGATAAATAGTATATACGAAAACGAATTTTTTTTTTTAAAAAAAAGGACCTTATTTCGTTTCGATGTTCGTAAAGGTGTGGAACCTTGAGAAGGGAGAGAAAAAAAAATGAAAAATGCTCTGCTCCATTTATATATATTATTGTAGTGAAGTGATTAATGGATTTCTAAAGGATATTATTAAATTAAGCAGCAGAGATGTTGTGTAAGGTGTTGTGTAGTGTATTAATTTTATATTCCAAGTGAAACAGAGAAAAAGGAGGTTTAATTCCAAATATAGTTAACTTATTATTATTTTTTTTTAACGTAATAAATCCGAGAGCAGATAATCTTAGTATAAATTTAAAAGAACAGGTTGAAATCAAGTTTTCCCACATTATCTTACGAATTCCCTTTTTTTTGATCATAATCTAAATATAGAAGTTCGGAAATTAACGGACATATAAATTCTTTCAGCCTAATGACCTTTTTGATTGCAACGAAAGATTTTATTATCTGAATGAACTTAACAATTGATTTGTGGAACTTTATTATGAGAAATCGATAACAAAAAAAAACGTATATTTAAACGATTATTGTTAACCCACAACAAGTAAGAAGTAAGGTTAATCAAGGGTTTGGGTATGACAATTTTATCTATTTGTGATAAACATCAATAAAAAAAAAAAAAATTTTTTTTTTTTAAAAAAAAAACCACTTGGAACCTCTTTGTAGTAACAATTATCAAAAAGTAGCACTGTATACATTGCATCTATGGCACATTAAATCAGTGTGATAAATATATTTACAAAGCGCAATAGCAGTTTACATTTGTTATTTGATCTTGACATAATCGAATGATTTTTAACCTTTGACAACGACTCGCAGGGTTGGGAAGTACAGTGTTAGTACAATGATTAGTACAGTTAGTACATTATAATAATTAATATTAAAATTAGTACAAGACAATACAAGTACAATGATAATTTTATCTAATTCCCAACCCTGGTAACTTACGACATTAGCTGCATGTTACACAACATTACCAAAAATTGACGATCTAAATTTAAATACCAAACCTTTGTACTTTTTTTTTTATGTTGAGGAAACGTTATTGTTAATGATGATGTCGTTTAACTTATTTTTGGGAAAACGCTTAGTTTATCATTATTTTTGGAATTTTATAGAAGCGATAACTCCGAATAAAGTTCGTAAGCTACGCCACACATTTAGTACCAATAGAAGCTTTGCATATTTTTTTTAAACAATACAAAGGATTTGTTGTTTAATGGATATTAAACCTTAAACTCTTATAATTTTTTTAATTTTCTCTCTTTATAATATAATTCCTCACAAATTAATAAATTTCTTATATTACAATCTACCTACTAAATAGAATAAATAAAATCGTTGGTATAGTTCGATATTGTGGCTAATTTGAAATTCTTATTCTTATAGAAATATCCATAAAAAAATTTCTATAGTTATTTACTTAGACAAAAATAATTCATACATGATATTATTAGATTATACATCAAAATTTCTACACAGATATGGATCAAACAAAGAATTTTTGGTTGTTAAATAACATTCCGTATATAGTAATTGCACACGCATATTCTTTATGCTTTATACAAATTTATTTTTATTTATTTTTTTTTTGTTTACATTAAAATTAGAAATATCTTTTAATTCCCGATTTAATCAATTTGGATTAAATATTAACATCAGTTAATATATTCTGTTGTGAAATTTGTTAAATTAATATTAACAAACAAACAAATTTATGAATTAAAATTTTTAAGAATTATTAAATTGATTTGTTTGCATTTCTTTTTTATTCCCAAATAGTACTAAAAGACAGTGCGGGATGTTGATTCAATCTTGTATGTTAAAGATCAGGACGGCTCTTACATGAACTTTCAAACAACATTTCGTTACTTTTTCATAAGTCGGTGGGATTTTTTGAATAATTTTTGACAGAAACATATAAACCGGTTTAATAAAATTTTTTCTTAATATTTCAGGAGCTATAAATAGAAACCTTCCATTTTTTTCCTTGTCTGATTATACTCACCGAGAAATGCTAAATTTTCACTTGTCAATAATGTTGAAATTTAACAAATTATTAAATACCGATCAAATGATCTAAATTTTAATTAAACAAATTTTCTCTTAATGTTAAGTAAGTAATTATTTGATAGTTTACCTCACTCATCCCGTAATTCATTAAAAATTTAATTACAACTGGAATGGGATTATTACGTTGTCTTTGTGTACCATTATACCATCCTTCCAATTAGCTATTAAAAATTTTTGTGTTCACTCATTTATAATTTTCAATGATTTCAAAGGAATCCATTCTAAATATGAATTATATGAAGTTGTATTTCTTTGTGTATCTCATATGAATTGATCAATTTCTACTATTTTCACTAGGTCGTATTCGAAGGATTCATCAATAAATTTCTGACAATCACATCAAGGACATCATTCATAATAGCTTTTAGGATGTTTACAATTGTAACATATACCATATATTTAATATATATATTTCTCTTCGATTATTTTCGATATTTCAAAAAAATAAGATCAAAGAAAAATTTATTCGATTAAATTTAGTGCGGTAAAATTATGCCAAAATTTGTATCACAAAAAAATGACTAGAATTAAGTAGTCACGTGATAATTTAACGCAAACTATTTACATTTCATTTTCGTTTTAATGAATACTATATTTTAATAAAAAACAATATTATAATAGGATGCCTGCCGATTCCATTGATGGGTATCTGCCGTAGCGAATTTTGAAGTAATTTTATCAGCTAATTTCTTAAAATTAGTAAAGAATAATAAATAACGTACTGTTCCTAGTCGATAGAGTCTGACTGTAACTAAAACAAAATCGCTATTTTCAGATGAAATAATGTTCTGGTTAACCCATTTGACATCAGTTTCGATACAGATATATCCCGCTTTCCGTTGTATTCTAGTACCTAGCCCGCCATTGTAATCTGCGTCAGAATAAATGTTAGTTTCCGCTTTTATTCATTTTTCTTCTCCAATATTAGGTTTTAAAGTGATTAAAATTATATTAGTACAAATATTACACAAATTTGAAGAGCGTGTTTGATGTGTTTGATGATGAATCAATTTATTCGAATATTCGTTTTTCAACAAAAATATGTGATTTTTGTTTTATTGCTTTAATAATAATTGATTTATCTAGTTACATTTTTTAAAAATTTATTAGAAAATAAAAATTTCAAAGATTTATCTGCCAGAACCTTTTAATATTTTTATCATATAATTTAATATTTTCAACAGTTAAATAGTATATCTGCCAATCGCGTGAAAAAAAAATGAACAAAGAAAAGCATAAGTGCAAAAAAGAGTTAAATTAACTTAAAAAGATTATGAACAGCTTCCATGTTTCTTTTTTTTATCAAGGATAAAATTGTATTCGATACCTTAAAATAGATGAAATTCACTAGTATAAGGATAATCGAATATACAAAAATTTCACAACCCTGCTCTAGACTGTATATAAAACTCTAACAACACTAGCGGCGCCATAAATCATTTGTTAAGAAACTTTTAATACCGAAAGTTTCTGCACATAATATAGAACATCGATTTATATTCGTTTATGCAAAATTTTTATTTCGGGATTATAAAAAATATACATTTTGTACTAAGACAATAATCAATTACAGATAGTATGCACCGCGACATATCGATAGATGTTTTTTGCCTAAGCCCACAGATTCTTAATAGGTTTTAGATCTGGACATTTTGTAAACCAGGGAAAAATGCGCTCCGTATAAAATTTCTTCGCAACTTGAGGACGAACGGTACCGTTTGTCGTTTCAAATAATAGAATATGTCACATAACTTTTCTTGAGAAGCATCACAAATAAATTCAACTAGGATTATGCCTCACAGTAGCGAATATAACAAGAAAGGTTCCATTCATCCTTCTGTCCAATAACGGTTTTGTTGAAGTTCGATTAGTCACTCACGTGACTTTTGACCAATTAACTTTCGTCGAGGCATTATATTACAATTTAGCTTTTAATCTAGTCAAATGAGTGTTCAACTAATAGTCGAAACATTCCAAAGCCCTTGCACTTCAGTGGTACAAGTCGACAATTTTTGATTCAAATCCCCGTATTCGATTTAGTTGATTTTGTATCACCATTTCGGTTTATGTATCACATTTATTCTACGATAAAATTCTTTATTTTTTTCCCATCTTCGTGTGCGTGAAGGAAAAAAATTTTGGTAGTTATGAAAAAAAATACGATTTATTAAATTTAAATAAAAAACTCATGTGCCTACGCAACATCATATGATCACTAATAGCTTGTATAAATGGGGTATATTTGTGCTGCCCATACTCATTTGCTACTTCTCTCAATATCCTCTATCATTTACGAAATGATCCTGTATTTTTCCAATCATTTTCACACGAAAAATTTTTGTTGCAAGTTTTAAATTGCGAATATACAAAAATTACAATAAGATCCGACATGAGAAACGACTCCACCCTCGATCTCAACCAGCTGCAAGTCGATACTCTTCAACTTGGCCAAGGTGGTGATGTTTCGCTTAATTATATGATCGAAGACGAACATTAATATTGCTCAATATCGACCGCCGGTATGATTAGTAGGGATCTTCGGTTCTATTTCGGTTCTTCATCGGCTCCGCTTCTGCTCTCATTAGCTACACAGGTAGAACATAACATGTGATGAGATTCAGAATCGACTAAATTTGAAATCGGTTCCAGAACCGACTCGAGTCGACTCATTTTGAGCCGATACCATCCCTAAGATTAAAAGTGCAGTACTGGAAAATATATATCTCGCCGATTGATTCTTTAAACAATTTAAAGATTTTAGCACATCAATAGACTGATGAACGGAACGATCTGATTGGCCAAAATAACATCGTAGATTTTATATATTTTTTATTACTTTTCGTTATTTCATCTCATACTTTCTTTTCAGCATAAAAAATTTATTGTTTATTTTATATATGAAGTTTTTATAAGAATAATAGAATTTTCAACAAATACGTATAATTAATATTTACCTAGTTATATTAAATGTGGCTTTTCCATATTTAAATATTCTGAACTTAGCGATTAACATATAGTAGATCGGGAACGCACTTATCGTAGATTATGAAAAATAAAATATCTGGAAAATTTCTGCAAAATGACTTGATATTTTATGATTTAGGACAAAAATTGATGTCTGGAACGTTACCTTATTCAGAAATTGTCAATAAAATTCGACATTTTTCCGATATAAAATAAATTGAAATTTTTGAACCAGACAAATTCTGATTATATTAAAATTCTGGATAAATTCCAGACTATATTTCTAAAATTAAAAATCAAAAAATGTAAAAGCACAAACTAACATTCTAAACCTTTCTTCTTGTACTATAAGTAAACTTGCAGAGCAGGCAAAAATATTATTTGTGATAAATTATACACCCAGTTAGGGGTCACGTTTAACACAGCGACAATCATCTCATCGGCCGACAAAACGTTTCACCTAAAGGATCGTTTCATTGACGGGTCATTTCACCGACAATTATAAAAAAATTTTTTTAAAAAAAAACTTAAACAAATAAAGAAATTTTATTATTGTTCTAATTTAGCAATTATAATTATCAATATGTACATAGCCACAAATTTTTTTATTACGGAATTTTTTTCAAATAATATTGTATATACATAATAAGAAAAAAAAATATATATATTATATGAATTATTAGACCTTTTTTTATCCGCATCAAATCTTTTTTATCTCATCAAATTATTTTCATCAATATTCTTTTTTATTATTCTCATCAAATCATTCTTTTTTTTAAAAAAAAAATAGATATTTGTGAAGTTATTCTCTCTATTCGTAATAAACCCAAAATAAATTTTCATGGTTTTATCATGGTTAAAGGTAAAAATAGAAATCATATGTTCTATTGGCACTGTGAAAAGAGAGATATGTTAAAATGCAAAAGACGCGCAACTACAATTTTAACAGAGGATCAACATCATCTCGTAAAAACCACTGATCATAATCACGCAGCAGAAGTGAACCGGATTAATGTTATAAAAGCTACTAATATGTTAAAAGAGAGATCTCAACAAACAAATGACAATCCTGCACAGGTTATCCAAGCAATTGTAAATGATACTTCATAAAATATTTGTCCATATCTGCCATTACGTGATGTTATTCAGCAAACCATCAAACAAGTTCGACATATTGATTATCCAACTATGAGAAAAACCTTAAGTGGCTCAGATTTTTAGTCAGAATTTAACTATAGGAGAAGAAAAAGTGTTAATTTTATACAACTTCCTTCAATATTAATATTTTAGCCCAATCATCATTTTGGCTTGCAGATGGAACTTTTAAAACAGTTCCAACTATCTTCAAACAATACATGGAAGTATTGGAGGCAGTGAAAATTCATGAATAATGTCACAAATATATGCCTTAATGTCCAGCAAATCTGAGGAAGTCTGTTTCAAGAGTTGATTGATTTTGGCGATGAATGTAATGCAGCTTTACAGCCACAATTCGTTATAACTGATTTTGAGATGACAGCGATCAATGCAATACGTTCTGAATTTCAAGGAGTCCAGAATTAAGGATGCCACTTTCATTTATCCTAAAATATTTACCGTAAAGTGCAAGAATTTGGACTTACAGTTCAGTATAGATCTGATGAAACTTCAGCCTACTCATTTGACATATTCCCGTCCTAGCTTTCTTATCTTATGACATTATACCATCAGCATTTGATGAGTTAAGAACTATCATGCCAAAGAATGCAAATAGTATTATTGAGTGGTTCGAAGTTTATTATATCCATAGTAGAATATGACGAATAACAAGAAGTGGAAATGTAATTCGGTCTGATCCATTATTTCCGCCTTCCATATGGTCAGTTACTGATAATATTGAACATGCTTTTCCTAGAACTCAGAATATTATCAAAGCATGGCATAGAAGTGGAATGCGTTAGTAGGCCATGCGGATGTAGGTGCCTTCAAAATTATTAAAGAAATACAGCAGAACAAAATCAAATCGGAAATAGTATTGAATCAATTGTGCGGCCATCACCAAAAAAAAAAAAAAGGATCAGGAACGAGAAATTCGAATTCAAACAGTTTATAATGACCGTGAAAATAGAAAAGTTATTGATTTCCTTAGGAAAATTGCACATAATCTATCATTTTAATTTAATTATTGAAAGTACTCTTAAAATAATTACGTAGTAGTTTGACCATTGTTAATTAATAGAAAATTTTCTTTCCTATATTCTTGCATTTTTCTTAAATTGCTCTTTAATTTCATATTATAATTTATATTTTAAATAAATATGTTAATATTGTTATTTAATAAAACCGAATTATTTTATATAATAAAATTTCTGATACTTAATATTAGTTTATAAAAAAAAAATTTAAAAATAACTAACTGTCGGTAAAACGTTTGTTGGTAAAATATTTGTCAGTGAAATGTTTGTCGATAAAATAATTATTGGTGAAACGTTTGTCAGCGAAATGATTGTCAGCGAAATGATCCTTTCTTGACACGTTTGTCGTCAAAAAATGACTGTTGACGAAATGAATGTCGGTGAGATGAAATAGACCCTAGTTAGTGATTGTCTCGTTTTGATACTGCGATAAACATAGTGATGAATGGTAATCCAAACAATCATGAATCTTAACTTTCTATCATTTATTTATTTTCTATAATTTTTATAATTTTTTAGCAATTTATAATTTCTTACATTTCTTTATTATATTTAATTAATTATATTTATTTAATTTCTTTACTTTATTATATTTTTTTTACTTTATTAAATATCTATTTCATATTAATGTATTTTTATAAATATCCTGTAATTTTACCCTAATAAATAGCAGTCATTACAAATCTTTAATAAATTAATAATAATTATCTTAGAAACTTATCTTTGCTCACTTATAATTCATTCTTCTTTAAATTTATATCAATAAAGATGACCTAATCCTTCAATATAATTAATTCATATTTATTTTTTTCATAGATTAGATGTAATTAAACTTACTATTAGCAAATACATTTTATACTTAATAATATACTATTTAAGCTTAACAATTTACTATTGGTAATAAGTTTCAGATGAATATCAAATTTTAAACAAAATCAAATAATAGAAATTTGGATAAAAACAGGTTTTTCACATTTTAATGCATATGTTAGATATAATATTTAGTCCAAAATTTGTCTTAACTATGTTCTGGATATTTTGTTAACTAATTTCTGATATCATTTTTTATAATGCATAAATCAATAAAATATCAAATGCATTATCAGGTTTAATTAATATTTTTATGCTTTAGTAAATTTTTTCTAAACATATACATCAGTATTGTTTCAGAATTAAGGTATTTTTTAAGATTCTTTTAAAAGTATAGTAAACAAATACATAATTTTAACAATAAAATATATATAAATTTTACAAGAAAAAAAAGAATTTTTTAGGTTATAAAAATAGATTTTCAAATAATTTTTATATAAAATTTAAAAAATCATTTTTTATAATAAAATAAAAATTTTATTTTATTTTATATTTGAATTTCTTCTTTATTTATGCTGTCCCTTAGATTGTAGGGTTTCGCAGGCAACATTGCCTGCTTATTTACTATAAATTTTCTTCTGATTTACTTTTATAAATAATTAATATTTTTAAAAAATTTTTTTTTTAAATTAATTATATAAATATGTAATATA